TAGAGGCAGAGCCAGCTGTACCCGCCCCGTCCGTTCCGCTGGTCAGCGCTGGAGGATCGGAGCGGGGAGGGGGGAATCCAGCCCCTCCCCTGTCACAGGTCGGCTAGAACTATGAGGTGAGTGAAAAGCACTCACCTCATAGTTCTCCTTTAAGATGTATGTCAGGAATAAAAAAATACATTAAAAAAACCTTATGAATCCCTACAATACATAGAAACATAGTAAAGTGATAGCAGAAGAATACCAATGGGTCTATTAACTAAGCTGCCGTAGGCAGCCGAGTGAATGACCGACCTAAAGTGAAGTGAGCCGAACACTGTTCGGCTATTCACTTCAGGCTGGTACGGCTGAAATCAGCCGTACATCGGCTTGCTTCGAAGTGCAGAAAGAGTTCGAATCAGCCGATCCAACATCTGGATCAGCTGAGCCGTACCTCCGGCAGGCTACTCACTGCTGTTCGGCCTGAATCAGCCGATCCAACATCTGGATCAGCTGAGCCGTACCTCCGGCAGGCTACTCACTGCTGTTCGGCCTATTCTCATAGATGCCGAACAGCAGTGAGTGAATAGCCGAATGCTGCTGAGTGGCAGAAAAATAGTTTAAAAAGTTTAAAAAAGTAAATAGAAACCAATTGTACGGAGCTAGCAGTGACAGTTAGCTCCGCCCAATAGTTTTCTATTGTCCGGCGGCTCTGCTGCCGTAAAAAAAAAGCGGGAAAAAAAAACTCTCCCGGGTGCTCTGGGAGCCTCCCGCTCCCGGCCGCCCAGGAGAGAAACACTGCTTTTTCTTTTTTTTCTCTTTATTCTGACACGGAGCCGTGTCAGAATAGTAATAAAAAAGATTTTTTTGCCCATTTGGAATGCATTGCTAGATTCCTATTGGCTATTTCAATTTGCAATAGCCAATAGTAAACTAACATTGCACTGGCCCTCTGCTGATGGACCTGATGGAGAACTGCAGCAGAGGGCGGGTGCAATGCTAGTTTACTATTGGCTATTGCAAATTGAAATAGCCAATAGCAATCTAGCAATGCATTCCAATGGGCAAAATTTTATTTATTTTTGTTCTATTCTGACATCGCTCGTGTCAGAATAAAAAAAAAAAGAAAAAGCAGTGTTTCTCTCCTTGGTGGCTGGGAGTGGGAGACTCCCGGAGCGCCAGGGCGAGTTTGCTGTTTGGAGATCAGTGTCTCTGATCTCTCTGCAAGAGGCCGGAGCCAGCCGTAAGATCACGGCTGGCACCGCCCAGCTGTCAGAAGCAGGCTGTCGGCCGGCCAATGGCCAGACCCTTTTTGTGATTGCTGAAAAAGACCAAGTCGTCCATCAAGTCAGACCCTTTTTATGATAGCAGAAAAAGACAAAGTGGTCCATCAAGTCAGACCCTTTTTATGATAGCAGAAAAGGGGCATCGAGTCTGCTTCTTTTTTTTAATCTGTTTTAACTTTTTTTGTTTGAATGTAGATCTGTACTTGTCTTGAAAATATTTAAATTAACTTACTAATGACTTACTAACTACCTCTGCTGGAAGTCTGTTCTAAACATCGACTACTCTTCCAGTAAAAAAAAAAAAATACTTTCTAATGTTAGTTTTGAACTTTCCTCCAGCCAGTCAGTTTTATGTTCTTGTGTTCTTAAACTTATCTTCCTATTGAACATACTGCAAAGTTCTGCATACCCGTAATATATTTAACGGTTTCATTTATGACTCCCATTTGCTTTATTCAAGACTGTACATTTTAGGTTCCTGCAATCTCTCCTGATATGTTTTATTACACAGACCTTTCACCATTTTTGTTGCCCGTCTCTAGGCACAGTCTACTTCATCAATATCTTTTTGTAATAAGGTCCCCAGACCATAACTGGACACAGTCTTCTAAATGTGGTCTAACTAAAAACCTATATAGCAAAATCAGCAAAATGTACTTTGCCCGCTGCTTGGATTTCACTGTTTGCTCATTTTGCAATCATCTGAAATAGTCCCCCCCCCCCGTTTTTTTCCCCCCCCCCCCCCCATATTTTTCCTCTGTAGTTCTTACCAACATTGTACACCTAATATTGTACGTTTTCATAGGATTATTTTTACATCAGTGCATTATTTTGCATATAGAAACACTGAAGTGCAGTTTTCATTGTTTGAACTGCAGGAAAAAAGGGTTAAAATCCCAGGGCCCACAGTAGCAGAGTAAGAGTATTGGATATTTTATTTTTACTACCCAAAGTGAATGGTAGTTTATGGATATTCCTTTCTGTTTTTTAAGGTTTCAAAAGATCAAACCACATCATTAGAAGAAGATGAAGTAAAGATAATGTGAGATCTTAGTCAATCTTGTATTTTGTAACGAGGAAGATAAACAGGCTCTATAGTACAGTGATATGTATCTAATCATGTCACTGAGTGTTTTTGGCTAGTTATGGAAATGACAGTTTCAGTAGAAACAGATGTTTTTCAGTAGTGCTGCTAATGATGATATCAGATTTACTTTGAGCGGAAAAGGCATAACAAACTGATGTGTATTACAGTGACACTCAGCAACTAAATCTTAAAAATGCATTTAAGTACCTTCACTATTACCAAAAATGTATCTTATTTGTGTATCACTCGGCTGTAGATCCTCAAATTATCTCTGAATTGGTGCTGACACTGTCCTTCCTTCTGGAGGGTGGCTACTTTTGTTCCCCATGGTCCCTGTGTGTGTTGTAAAGAAGTCACCGCTCCAAGCTCACTCCTGTGATAGACTACAATCTCATGTTTAGTTAGGGGACTTTAATGCATTTTTAAGATTTAACTTCTGAGTCTAGTGTCACTTTGAGTGCAACTTCTCAACTTCTGTAGTTTTGGTCCAGGTGAAAGCAAAACTCACCCACTCCTCATTGGGCAACTTTGGCAGTTTTACCACACAAATCTGACTCCTCAATGGCAGTCAGACATTATCACATCACATTATGATATTGCTATATTCAGTAATTATAACCTTGGATACTATCGTTAAGCTTTTAATGGCTCAACCACTTTCACTGTAAAGAAGCCCTTCCTAAACTTAAAAACAATTAAAATGTTAAAGTAGCTTGAGTTCCAGTTTCAGATCTACGTTCCAACCTTGACAGGCCTCTATCCAATCTGAGTGCCCTGATGGCCACTAGGGGTACCACTATTGGATAGGGGCTAGCTAAGGGCTGGAAACAGTTCCAAAATCCAAGCTTGAACATTCCCCATGGTGACATTTGCCAGACTAACTAGTGGTTAGATGTATAACCTCTAGGATTTGTAGCTGCTATGAATCTTGCTACAGATTAACTTGAGGAACAAGACCCAAGTGCATAGTCGTGTTTATATCATGCTTGCCAGTTTCTGCACTTTAAAATATTTTGATTTGCCTACAATAATGTACCTACACATCTATTCTAGTGCATTTATTGAAGCCTGAGTGCGTAATGTATTAGGCAGTGCATGAAAATGACAAAATGCATGTACTGCTGATCATCACTATTTAAAGGTGTAACTCAACCTGTGACATTCAACAGCAGTGATATATTGCAAAGTCAGCAAATCGCATCCATTGTCTTTCTTGCTCTGTTATGTCTGTACAGATTGTACACTGTACCCAGCAGGGAATGTTAAAGTGACACCAAACTCAGGAGTTAAATCTTAAAAATGCATTTAAGTACCCTAATAAATGTATCTTATTTGTGTATCACTCGGCTGTAGATCCTCAAATCATCTCTGAACTGGTGCTGACACTGTCCTTCCTTCTGGAGGGTGGCTACGTTTGTTCCCCATGGTCTCTGTGTGTCGAGTCGAGTAGTCACCGCTCCAAGCTCACTCCCGTGATGGATTACAATCTCATGTTTCATTTACTAATTTGTATTGAGATTGTAGTCCATCACAGGAACGAGCTTGGTGCGGTGACTACTTTACAACACACACAGGGACCATGGGGAACAAACGTAGCCACCCTCCAGAAGGAAGGACAGTGTCAGCCCTCTATCCAATCTGAGTGCCCTGATGGCCACTAGGGGTACCACTATTGGATAGGGGCTAGGTAAGGGCTGGAAACAGTTCCAAGATCCAAGCATTAACATCCCCCATGGTGACGTGAGATTGTAATCCATCACGGTAGTGAGCTTGGAGTGGTGACTACTCGACAACACACACTGGGACCATGGAGGACAGAAGTAACCCCCCTCCAGAAGGAAGGACAATGTCAGCTCAGCACCAATTCATATATGATTTGAGGATCTTCAACCGAGTGATAGACAAATAAGACACATTTTGGTTTATAGTTTAGGTACTTGAATGTATTTTTAAGATTTAACTCCTGAGTTTAGTGTCCCCTTTACATTTTCCTGTGACCTGTCTACTGTGGTGTAAACTTTACACAGGGCATATGGAATGTTTGCATAAAGATATCATTTTATTAAAAATAGGCAAAGCAGAGAAAATTTAATGTGTCTGATCCACCTAATTCCTGGACTGTGGGGGCACACCACTGCCCCCATGGAGATTTCTGTCAGACATAACTCAATGCTCATCTCTGGTTATATCTTACAATGGGTTCTTTGGGAATCAGAAGTCTCAGAGATAGTGGTTGACACAAGGCTTAGCGGATCAACAAACAAGGAAATGAAACTGCAGATCCTTCAGTGAATCCATCCAGTCTGTTCAACTCTAGATAATATTAGCATGATTGTAATATTTTATTTGTTTAATATTTTTGTCTTTATTTGTTTAATATTTTTCCATGTTTTAAATGTATTTAATTCATAATGTTCATGAAACAAAATATATGTTCTTAGTAATTAATATTTTTTAATGATTTTTCTCTCAATAACACATTTCTGTTCTCATTCTCTTTTCACAGGATTCCATTAGTGAACCTGTAAAAAAAAATATATAAAAAAACAGGTGTCTACTATTTTTGTTTACCACTGGGACTCACAGAGCTGAACTCTACTGGACAAATATATTTTTATAAAAATGTAAAGAGACTGCTTTTTTGTTTCTGTCGATGAACATGTTTTTTTTTGTTTTGTTTTTGAATAGAAGACAAATGAGAAATCTAAATTTTGACAACTAGAGAAAATTCTTAAAACATAGGACTGACCATGAAAAAATTTTGGATTTGGACTGTGATTTTTTGAACCTGTGCCAATAATACCGATATGTGCCATGAATTGATAACATAGAAAAACGTCCACAGAAACTGACATTAAGTGAATCCTTTAAAAAACGAAAAAAAGAAAAAGGATTTGGTGACCTGTTTATAGGGAATAAAATATTGTATAGAGACAGTCAACTTTTCTTTATGAAGTTACATTTAAACAGTTATTGTTTTATTACACAAAGGATTTTCATTTTAGAGAAATATTGCCACTGCAACTGCTTTAAAAAGTCAATATTTAGATTATTTCCGAGTTGGAAATAATTGCTTTTTATGGGATCAATATTTAGGGTTGTTCTTAATTAAGGTGTTGGATTGCCTTTTAATACTGTAATACATAAAAAAAAAAAAACTATATGCAAGGAAACTTTATATATTTTTTATTTATTTTATTTTAGAAAATGACTTGTGTCCTTTTATTCCAAATTTGTATTTACCAACTTTATCAGCGGGGAAATGCAACTGGTGGAACTGATGTCATGGAATGAAAAAAAAAAAAATTATACATTAACGCATTAAAAGATTTGACAAGCGTTCCCTAGCCACGGAGTCATGTAAAAAATCATATCCAAGATAGGCCAAACTGAATAATTAAAAGAGAGCTAGCTTTTATGTATTATTCATATTAAATAATAGCAAGGCTGGAAGATAACTCATTAACCTAATCAAAAAGACAAAAAGACAAATCTGTTTCACAGAAGAAAACTTGGCATATGTCACCTACAGGGGTGCCCAAAATTGGGGAGTTTTAGACATTATATACTGTGAGTTTGTATTGTAAAATAGAATTCAACAAGGGCACCTTTGTGTTAATTATTCAGTTATCTGTACATTTAAAATGACTTTAATAAAGCACAGTTACGAAAGCTATATCAAAAAAAAAAAACCCCATACTCTTTTAGTTTGCTCAGTTAAAATGTTTTCCCTTTTCTTTTCACTGACATTAAATTGACTTATGGTTTTGAATTAATATTTGGAGTACAGTATTTTTTACTTAAATGCGTGTTTTACGTTTACTTTCTGTTTTGCTTTGCTCCCAGTTGTGAATTGTTTGTGCAGTGATTCTATCTTAATCATAATAACATAATTCATGTTTTAATTTAACATGTAAACTTTTCAAATATACATATAGTCAAAATAATAATTAAAAAAAAAAAGATTTTTTTATATAAACACTATTCTTTTTTTGTGTTGGTGTAAGATGCAACAGTAAGTAACAAATTAAAGGGTACTTTCTGAAATAACCTGTTTATTTGTTTATATATCAACCTAAAGGTTATCATTTTATTTAAAAAAAAAACATATATTATGACCAGTAATAAAACATTGTTAAAAAAATGTAGACTTTTAAACTCTGTCTAAAAATATCTAAACTGTTTTGTCTTTTGAATGCACAGGGTATTACACTAAATAATACATATAGGGTCTTTTTTGTTGCTTCCTTATACCTGAAGTCTACACTTTACTTCTTTGTATAGCAGCTGTAATTGAAGCCCATATTTAATTACCGTATTTTTCGCTCGATAAGATGCACTTTTTTCCCCCCAAAAGGGGGGCAAAAATGTCTGTGCGTCTTATGGAGCGAATCCCTAGCGCCCAACGCCCGGGACATGCAGTTTCGGGCGCCGGGTGAGTAGTTTTTTTGTACATTTAGCTCTGCTCCGGACAAGCAGAGATAAATGTACAGTGGGAGACGCTGCTCGTTTAATACAAGTGATCTAATCAGATCACTTGCATCAAATCAAGTGGAGGTGGTGATCGTGTCCGGGGCCCCGCCGTGGTTTTCGGGGTCCCCCGCTCCTCTGGGGGACCGTGACCACGGCAAAGGAGCTCACCATAGAGCCCGTAGAGCAGACCAAGAACGTCCGTTCTTCATCTGTTTTGTGTGATTGCTAAGATCGTGGCGCTGTAATTACAGCGGCACCTGTCTCAGCTGTCACTAACTGCAGCTGTCACAGAACCCTTCCCTCCCTGCGTCCTATGGTCAGGTGCGCCTTATGAAGCGCAAAATACGGTACTTGGTAAGTTACTAAAATGCGAAACATACGTATATACAAAAAATACGAAAATAAAATCCGAAAATATCTTTTAAAAGAACTGAATTTATAAATAGCTGTCAATATAGGCCCCCTGGTACATTCTATCCACATGAGTTATTGTGTGCGCTGTTTGGCATCTCATATTAGAAGTAATACATCTCATAAAGTGACACTAAACTCCGGAGTTAAATCTTAAAAATGCATTCAAGGACCTTAACTATTAACAACAATGTATCTTATTTGTGTATCCCTCGGCTGTAGATCCTCAAATTATCTCTGAATTGGTGCTGACACTGTCCTTCCTTCTGGAGGGTGGCTACTTTTGTTCCCCATGGTCCCTGTGTGTGTTGTAAAGTAGTCACCACTCCAAGCTCGCTGGACTACAATCTCAATACAAATTAGTAAATTAAACCTAACATTGAGCTTGGAATGGTGGCTACTTTACAACACACACAGGGAGTAATGACCCATCATCAGGCTTCCTGATTGGCCGGTAAGGTGGCTCGATGCTGATTGACTGGGAAAACGGCTTTCCAGCCAATCAGCATGGAGCCAACCAAACCAACCAGCTGGCTTCACAGGAAATCAGAAAGCCGAGCAGTGTGTCATTACCTGCAGCCCTGCTTCCTGATTGTCCAGGAAGCTGGCTTCATGCCAGCGGAAGCACCGCTATCGGTACTTGGTTTACCGCAAAATATTGGTACTCGTACTCGATATAAAAAATGGTATCGGCGCATCCCTAGTATATATATATATAAAACAAATCATACATTAAAACAGGGATGCATAAATCCCAAGGGCCCCATAGCCAATTCTACTTAAAAATGAGAGCTGCCTTCCAACCTTTGAGTTTTTCTCTGGTCTAGTCTTTCAATAAAGCTCGAAAAGTATTGGCGCTTGTACTTGTACCAAGTACGGTACTTGGTATCTGAACATCCCTACTTTGAAGCATACACAGCTGGTTCATTTGCATTCAACTCAATACTAATAAAATATTTAACAAAGAGGTTTAATGAGCATTTTACTCTTTTCATGCGAGTTTTACATTTACTGCTTCAATAAAATAATGTCATAAATACGTAATAATAAATAAACAAACAAAGATATCAACATTTTTTGCTGTGCACATTTAGCAGTGTATACATTTTCAAATGCCTATAAGACTTTTAGAAGTCATCAGAAAATAGAGAATGTAAGATGCTTCAAGTATCCACATGGAGCCCGGGGAGAAGGACCATCAAACATACACAATACAATTAATAACAAAGTATTTGAGAAGGTAAACCCATAGACAAGAAGTGTTTCATTGCCTATTGTGCAAAAACTGTGACACAAAGGCAATCAATATTTGTTTGTTTTCACTGTACTGGTGTTAGAGTTACTTAGAGTGTTTTAAAGTTTCTGCAAATCAATAAAAATGATTCAAATGGATTTAGAAATAAGTTGATACGCTGAACTGTACAGTTAGAACATGGGCATTGAATGCTCAAGGCCGAAAAGCAAAACTTAGCAAATGATGTCTGTAACAGTTCTCATTCATCCAGGTCATGGTATATCTGTAAAAAATAAATCAAGGCAAGTGAACTTGCGGTATTTCTCTTGAAGATGTTTAGCTGGTCACCCGACTAGCTTTCTTAATTGAATTGAGAAGGCTAGTCAGATGACCAGCGAAATATCTTCAAAAAAATACAGCAAACCCAGTTGCTTTGATTTATTTTTAACAGATATTTTAGCAAATTACTTACAGTGTATTGTCCAAAATGTAGGAAATATTACAATGTACACACAGATTTGAAGAGTGCAAACATTGATATCTACTCACCATTATATAGACCTTAAAAATGGCCGATAAAGAAATGATCATGTTATTTTAATTTCAAAAGTATTTTTTATTTTTTTAATCTACTGTTTTCATTAAATTGATATTAAAGTCAAAGTGTTTTTATTAAGCTTTTTTAAAATGCTGAATAAATTGCTCACAATAACTGCTGCTGCTCCAAAACGTTTTCTGCAGAATCAGAGCATTGGCCTTGATACCTTGCTTTAGGGTGGCTCCTTTCCCTTGCAGGGTCCTATGGAGCCACCCTTGTGTGCAAGTAAACTTTGTGTGTCTCCAAAAACACACAGGCATGGCAAGGCAATTGACTCCCCTGCTCTCTGCTCCTCCATCCTCCCTTCTTCAAGCTAGTCGATGGGCAGCTGCTGGAGACTGTGCTGTCCCGTGTGATCTTGTACTGAATAGGAACTTCAGGGAAGCATTGCTAAGTGAGTTGGAGTCAACTCTTTGAAAACATATGAACTTAAATTTATTAGGTAATAATTTGAAGAAATGCTTAGCTGGGCAATGTATATTTGTTTGATATGCATTCATTATTGGAAAAAAATGTGTTTAATACTACTTTAAATAATACCTTGTAATCCTGGCATAATGATGCCTGTTCAGGCACTTTATGGTATAGGGTAACGGTCCCCAAACTTTTTGGCACCAGAGACCAGTTTCATAAAAGGAATTGGAAGCCCATTAGCTTGTTTTCATGCCTCAGGAGGCCAGTGTGGGCTCTCAGGTGGTCAGTGGGGCTCTCAGGTGACCAGTGTGGCTCTCAGGTGGTTAGTTCGGGCTCTCAGGGGGTCAGTGCGGCTCTTAGGTGGCTTTTGCCGCTCTCATGTGTCCAGAACACCTTTGCAAAACATGCACATTTGCCTGTGTCTTATCCATTACAATGCTGCAGAACATTAAAAAGTACAGAAAAGTATATTTAATCTGCCAAAAATCCAGTATACTCTTGACTTCCTATTTGGGCTTGCAATATAGTGCCTCTGCTGCATAGAAACCCCAAGCAGCATTGCCAACTCCTCACTTCTCTCTATTCATCACTATGTGCATACAATGATTTCTTCTCCAGCAAAAAATATGCTACTACTTTACCTTCCAAAGAGCCTGCACACACATAATGTTTAGAGGAAGGACTTTTGAGAGATGTAGTTCTGGGCAGTGGCGTAAGAATAGCCATAGAGGCCCCTGCAGCTGCTATGGGGCCC